TTTTCTAATTTTATATATTAGCTATTTAATCATAGTATTAATAAAGTATAAAATTGTTTTATAGTATATACAATATTTGATGAATATTTAATGAATATTTGAATATTCATTCAAATTTTTCAATAAATATTCGAATATTAAAAGTATTGAACAAATGAATATTCAAATACAAATTTTTTGACCGGATAAGATCTCTACTTATACCTACACTTTGGCTTATAGGTAATTTGTGCTTAACACTCAGTTAAGATTTGCAGTAAGCTGCGAGCTCTGGTTGTTACAAAAGCAGAGGCTTAAAGTGGCCCTTCTGTGCAAATCTCTTTCAATTTGATAGAACTTTCCAAGTTGCTATTAAAGCAGAGGCTTTAAGTATACTCTTCTGTACAAATCTCTTTCAATTTGACAGAATATCTAAGTATATCTTTTTTTTTTATTTTAGTTTTTGGGCAGATAGTGTTTTAGTTTTCTGGGATAAATTTTTGTTTTTTTACCAAAAGGTACCAAAATATTACAATGCTATAGCCTTCTTAGTATTAATATAGCAAAGTAACAAGATCACCTGATGCAGTAATATACTTTATGAATATACATGGGGGTGAATGTGAAGTATATACTTTAACTTCACAGCAAGAGGCAAACGGTTTGAGATAATAACAGTTTATAGATAATAATATTTATTAATAACAGGTTCACGGTGATAATCTTGCCTGTAGGAATTACCCTAGAGAGAAAATATTATACTTTATAATAAGAAAGGGGTAAGGAGTAAGACTAGATTCTATAAGAGGGTAGGGAACTCTGACTTGGGCAAAAGGGACAAAGGCTCTCTTTTTATAACTTTTCAATAGATAGAAGTATAACAGTATAATTGTCTAACCGTGTAGAGACATTCAGAGTCACTATAGTAAAGGCACTTAGAAGCACTGTAATAAAGGCACTCAGAGGTACTGTAGTAGGGACACTCAGAAGCACTTGTGCAGAGGTACTTAGAGGCACTTATGCAGAGGCACTTAGAGGCACTTGTGCAAAGGCACTTAGAAACACTTGTATAAAAGTACTTAGAGGCACTTGTGCAGAGATATTTAAAGGTACTTGTACAAAGGTACTTAGAGGCACTTAGAGGCACTTGTGCAAAGGCACTTAGAGGCACTTGTGCAGAAGTACTTAGCTGTAATATTATTATACTCTATTCTATTACCCAATAGAATCTCCTTTATACTAAATATAATTAACTATAACTAATAATCTAATACTAATAATATGATAAGATATATAATAACTATAATGCTATGATATGATAGTATAATAAATAATATAATAATAGAATATTTTCTATACTATGCTACGCTAGTATTACTCTGTATTACAACCTATTTTGTAACAATAATAACAAGTATAAAGTTAAGATATTAATATTTGTTTATTAGATAAAAAGTTAAAAATACAAGTTTAATTTATTCTGTTTTGGGCAAAATAATAAGGTTTATATAGCTTTTAAAATATTAAGAAAATTTTTTCTGATATTAGTATAAAGTAATAAAAAAATAAGATAATAAAGATAAGAAAATAGTAATAAAGAAATAGATATAAAAAAGTAAGAATAAAAAGATAGTAATAAGAATATAAAAAATAAAGAGAAAAAAAAAAGAAGAAAATAATAAAAAAATAATAATAAAAAGATAATATTAAAGAAGTAATAATAAAAAAGTAATAATAAAAAAGTAATAATAAGAAAGTAATAATAAAAAAGTAATAATAAGAAAATAATAATAAGGAACTATCACTTATTACGTAATTATAGCCCCCCTCTCAGGAGGCAAAATTAATTTCTAGAGTACCAGAGTTAGTAAATTGTTAGCCCAGATTTGAGGGGGGCTATAATTACATAATAAGTATAGTTCCCTAAGAATATAACAATAATATTGTACTAATAGTAATTTCTTATAAATAAAACTAATCATTCTAATTTTGATTATATAATCTAAACTATACTATAAATAATAATTTATATAACTAATACTAATAGAGATGTAGTGGCTTAATAAAGTGGTCTAGTTATCACTCCACCAAGTAGCAGATCCAAAGTTTGAATCATATAGATAATATTTTTGAAAAATAAATCTGTATTATAGTAATAATTATCCATTAATCAGTTAGATTCTAGAAATTATAATTTCAGTAATACTATATTTATATAAGAGCTTTAGTATATAAAAGGCCAAGAAACTGTAATGATCAAAACTTGTTTGGGAAGACCTGAGTAAAGAGTAGCTATAATCTTCAATAATACTACAAGAAAGACTCAAATTTAGAAATTAGAATCAAGATTGGAAAACTGAACAACAACAAGATTCTTTAGTAAAAGAATTTACCAATCTGATTATTAGTTTAGAAAAGTTAAAAATTTGTAAGATATTACAGAGTATACTAACCTTGACTAGCTAGTGTGGGAAACCAGTAGTAAGAAGCTTTATCTTATTAGCCAGAGGCTATGGAAATTAAGTGACAAAAAAATGCTAGGCATGTCTGAAGAACTAGCTAACTGAATTAGAGAAAAAGAATATATATTAAAAAATCATATATCAAGACAAGATAAGTATATTGGCATCTAAAGTCAAGCCAAAGTTGAATCTTCTAGATCACTAGTTAGAAGTAAAAAATAGACTAATAAGAAAATAATGAAAAAAAAAAAGTTCAAATATGGATATCAGGATTAAAAGTAACTCTTATAAGGGCAAAAGCAGTTAAATAGAAATAATCCCAACTACAAGTAGGAGCCTCAGCAACTGTGCAAAACCAGATTGGCCCAAAATAGAATAGGGAAAGCTCTGGTAGATTTACCTTAAGAATAGCTATATATTTGCTCAATAAAGAAATACAAGCTAATAATTAGTTGGTACAAATTTAGAATAAGTCACAGAAGTTCTAAAGCAAAGTATGCAAACTAGTGAAATAGGCTATTGGTAGTTTCTGAGTTAGTATAACATGTTTGAAAATAGTTAGAATCAGAAGATTTAAATAGATAACTCTCTAGTTAGATTATAGATATGATATCTAGTATAAAACCTGTAGACAGACTACTTAAATAGGCACTCAAAAAATGTACATGTACCTAGTTATATCTTCATTGTAACTATAATAGCAAATAATTACTAATAAAGAGTCTTTATGACCAAAAAGGTTACCTTAACACTGAAAAAAAAAATAACTAATACTAATACTAAAAATATACTAATAATATAACAATATATATACTATTTTATTATTATAAAAAAATAGTTTAACTTTTATAAAAAAAGTTATCTAGCCAAGTAATAAGAATCAATTTTATTTATATATATAACTTTATTAAAATATAAAAAAACTTTTTAAATTTTAATATAGCTAGTTATAAAAACTAATTAATTAATTTTGTATAATTTAAATACAGTAATTTATAATATATTTTTATTAAAATAATTTATTTTTGTTTTTTAAGAAATCTTGTTTAGTATAAAGTTTAAAACTAGTTTTATTTTTCATATATTAAACCTAGCTTTAATTAGTTTTAGTATATAAAAAATATATAAAACTGGTTCTAAACTCTAGTTTAATATAAAATTTTACATATAATTACATTTTTAAAATTAAAAAATTTTTTATTTTTATAAAATTTCATTAAAAAAATATACAATTTTAAAAAAATATTTTAATTTATAATCCGTATAAGAGAGAATTTTATAAATTACAAAAGTATAATTTACTAGGTTTTTTATATAAGAATAAAATCTTTTTTTTCTTTATACTTATAAAAATATAGTTACAAAAAATATCTTTTTATTTACTAAAACAATTTTAATAATTTTTTTATATCATATATAAAAAAGTTTTTCTCTACATTTTTTATTAGTAAAATAAAATATATTAGCATAATAAAAAAATAGTTTTCTATAGAGAAAAAAAAGATTTCATAATTGCGTATATGAAATTCTCTCCTTATGTGAATTAGCAATTAAATAACTTTAATTCTATTTTTAATATAACTAACTCTAAAATTTGAAATTAAAATTAATATGCAAGTTGAGAATAATGTGAAGTTTAAAGTTTATAGTAAATTTATATTATTATAATTTGTCAGTCTGCGTAACATGTTCTCTGATTATATATTTCATATTTCATGATTTAATTGGGTCAATAACGATAATCGCATTAACATGTCACCCATGAAGCTTGATCAAATTTCTTCATATTGCGATAAATATCCGCAAGAAGCATCTAATCTTTCACAAGTATATCTTGATTTAACCACAGGTAATTATACTATTAAACAAAACAGTTTATTGCTGATTATTAATACTCACTTTTATAAAGTCAAATCGTGGGCTGAAGTAAAAGTTAAAGACATTGAACCTTTACAAAGATGTGTTTTACTCGGGAGAACTAAAGTATGAATAAATGATTTGTACAAATCACTAAATATTTGACATTATTAATAGAATAACAAATTCAAAATACAGTCGAATACTCAGATGATAATCATAGTACCTTGTGCGTCAACCGAAATTTGGTCACTTGAAAAGTAAAACTTTCGATAATTGCAATTACAATTATTGTTGCAATAAGAATAATATGAAATAAATGAAATCATTTATTGTCCTTTTTAAAATAGGATGACACAATTATTTTCTCAATTACGAACATTTCCATCTTTTTTTATAGATTGTGATCCGAACAATATAAAAAGGTTATTATTATTTTTTATATAAATACGATTTTTCGATTTATTTTCACTAAAAAAATAAACATTTACACAGTATCACTCTAGCTATTGCTTTCCCAGATTCTACCGTGGTTTATTATAAGATACATGATAGAATTAATCCTCCGTCTGATAATAGTGCAATTTATGACCCACTTGGATAGCATTTATCGGTTAAACGAAAAATGATTTTATTGCAAATGATGATAAATGATTTAAAAACAAATGACGTAAAATCATCATAATATGGATATTTTAGTAATAAGACATATGGTGACCTCCTTTTTGATCTTTTGAAATTCGATCGTAGATCTGATTCATCATAACTTTATGATAGGAAAATTAAACGGATATCAATGGCAGTTTGAATTATAGGCAATGATCGGAAATAGATCATACAATCACAATCACTCGTTATAATGAAGACTTGATATGTATAGTGAAGTTAAAAACTCTCGATACAGTATAGTAAATTTTATTAAAAGAACTGATCACTTCACCATAACGAGACTTGGATATAAGTGCAGATCATTTACTATGGCAATACTAAGAATCATTACCATAGAGGGTAGCATTGCCGATGCGCAAATAGTTTATCTACCTTGCAGACCGTTTGATAATTGCATATTAGTGCTACATGTCCTAAATTTTTTTTATTGCCAATATGATATAGAATGCCATTTTTTGAATTCCTTATTTAGAAAAAAATATCTAAAAAATGAGGTAAAATCAAGTTAAATTTCGAACATTATAGGAAATTGCTCTCCAATATTTTTTTATTTGAACCACGAGATCAGGTTTAGGATTTTTTTTGCTTCGTAAAATTTGCTCTGATTGGTTATCGATGCAGATCTCTCAAATAAGGAAAGTGAAAAGATCGTTACAAAAGAGATTATCGTGTGAAATAACTATTGCTACGCTTACTTTAGTAAAAACATTATTGGTGCACCAAATAGAGCACCAACTCCTACGAAATACTATGACTTTATAACCCAATTCGATCTTCAATCCATTAGAACTTATATTTCTATAAAAGTTGTGATTTTAATAATAAATTATTAAACATTTCTACAATTGTAAAATAAATTTCTCACAAGACCTCTTAGCGTAAATTCCTATAATTACGCGTGAAATTATATTATATTATTAAGAGATTGATCAATCGATCGGCCAAGCCAAAATTAACTACTGATTTTTCATTATTGGCCATGATCACAAATCAATTTTACCAACCCCTCTTTGACATAAGTTGATTATCGGGTAAGGTATCAATATTAATTCCAACCTGTTATAATAAATAATTTTTAATATTTTTTAAATACATTATATTATGTCGATTATTTTTCATAATCTTAAATAATTACCATCGCTTCTCCGAGTCCTTCTGACACTTCTGCTAAAATTTTTGCATCATTATAATGTGTAACCGCTTGAACAATAGCTTTGGCTCGTTTTGCCGGATCTCCGGATTTAAATATTCCTGAACCGACAAAAACTCCATCACACCCGAGCTGCATCATCATTGCAGCATCTGCTGGTCTAAATATGTAATGAAATGTGTGCAATAAATTTTTTCAGTTCCAAGGTTTTTTTTTAAAAAGATGTATATCAAACTTTAACTTACGTTGCTATGCCCCCTGCCGAGAAATTTACAACTGGAAGCCTTTTCAATTTTGCTGTCTCTTTCAACAAATGATATGGCGCTTGTAGTTCTTTAGCGTAACCGAATAACTCTTCATCACTCATTGTAGAAGCTTTTCTGATTTCACTAGTAATAGTCCGCATGTGTCGGACTGCCTCCACAACATTTCCCGTACCTGCTTCCCCTTTTGTACGTATCATGGCTGCTCCTTCGGAAATGCGACGAAGTGCTTCCCCTAAATTTTTGGCTCCGCACACAAATGGAACTTTAAAATTATGTTTGTTTATGTGATGCTGTTCGTCTGCAGGAGTGAGAACCTCTGATTCGTCAATGTAATCTATGCCAATTTGTTCAAGAATCTATAAATTTATTAAACATTAGTAACTATGCTATTATCAAATTGTGACTGTGTGTCAATATTGAACTTATACCTGAGCTTCGACAAAATGGCCAATTCTTACTTTGGCCATTACTGGAATGGTCACTGCGTTTTTGATCTCTTTGATCATTTTTGGATCTGACATACGAGACACTCCACCTAAAGAAAAAAAAAATACTATTGTGAAACAGCCTAATATATAAAGAAAACACTGACATGAACAGCCTAACGGAACGTATTGATTGACATTAAGAAAAAACGGTATACCTTCTTTTCTAATATCAGCAGGAACACGTTCTAATGCCATTACAGCTACTGCACCAGCCTCCTCGGCAATCCTAGCTTGATCAGCATCAACAACGTCCATAATGACACCTCCCTTTTTGCATTATAAAAATTGAATCATAAGTTAGTTCTTTCTCGCGTGATTGCGCGAATAAATAATGAAGCGAACCTTTAACATTTGTGCAAGGCCGGCCTTAACGGCGAAGGTAGCCTGGGTAGAAGTTCCATTAACAGTAATTTTAGTATCATTGCTTTGTTCTATGGGTACAAGATTCGTTGGGGCGATGAATTTAGACATTGTATTCAGATCAAATATTTTGGTTTGTAAAAATCTCGATTCAAAATATCTGATCTTATACAGTACATTTGTAATGCATTAGCCATCACTTATATAGATTTTTTTTATCTCCTATATTACACAAATCTTATATATATATGTCTTTATTATATCATATAACGATAATGATTTTCCGTACAATATCGATATCGATTACCATTATAAATGCTATTGCTGTATTGACAAAAGTGATTGGCCTATGATTGTCTAAATATAGATTATGACCTGTTATGACTTATAAAATTTAAAGTTGGACATGACCTACAGTAGAATGACCAACATTTGAGTTAGATCTCAAAAAAAAAAAAAACACCAATAAAATCTATGCATCTAATGCATGTCAAATGATTATAAATCAAAAGTTATAAGCTTTACTTACAAGTAATTTTAAATTAGTGCTTGAACCTTGATTCGATCTAAGTAAGCAGCTAACTCGAACCAATACTGTATAAGGGTATTATGACACTGTTAAGAAAGAAAACTTATTATAGCCTGTAAATTATTAATCTAAATCGAACGATTTATTGTCCGGAGTGAGGGAGGACTATGTTTTTATGACAGCTGGTGATCATTTAGATCACGTGAAAAGTCTGTCCGTTTGCTTCCGTGACGCTGATTGGTTGAATACTACAACCCCCCTAGCAGTTAGAGAATATGTTACATAGTTTTTTTTTATAATAAAAATTATAAAAAAACAGATCTTCTTTAGTATAGATGGGCAATATAAAAATATTATAAAATTATAATATAAAAAAACTATAACCCTAACCCTAATCTAACTATAAACTATACAATAACTCTTACTCTAATCTTAACTAATCCCAAATTTGCTTAAATTTTTTTTTTTTTTTTTTTTTTTTTAGCGATCATATCATATTTTATTTGAAATAAAGTAGTTACATTATCAAATACTATTACTACCTCTGGTATTATTACCTTAAAATTAAAATACAACTCGTCCT